AGCCCCATAGCCCTATAGCCCTACAGCCCTATACTCTTATAGCCCTATAGCCCCATATCCGTATAGCCCTATAGCCCCATAGCCTATATCCTTATTGCCCTAGAGCCTTATAGCCATATAGCCCCATGGCCAGCCCTATACCCCATTGCCCTATAGCCCTATAGCCGCATAGCTCTATAGCCCCATAACCCTATAGCCCAACAGACCAATAGCCCTATATGCCGATAGGCCTATAGCGCTATAGCCGTATAACCCTTTCGCCCTGTAGCCTTATAGCCCTGTAGCCCCAAAGCCCTATAGCCCGATAGCCGTTTCGCCCTATGACAATATAGCCCTTTAGCCTTATAGCCCTGCTGCCCTATAGCAGAATAGCCCTATAGCCCTATAGCACGATAGCCCCATGGCCCTGTAGCCCTATAGCCGCGCAGCCATATCGCCCCATGGCCCCATAGCCGCATACACCTACAGCCCTATAGCCCCATAGCCCTATAGCCCTTTTCATTTCGGATTGGTGCTTGTCCCAGGCATCATATATATATATATATATATGGGGGGGGGCATGGGGCCACCTAAGAGTACAAAGAAAACCTCGAATAGTTCCATGGTCAAGCCAGCAGGCTCACGGCTCAGATCCAAGGGTCACTTCAGTCGACGAATGTTCGCGAGCGAGGACAGGGCGGCTCCGATGTCGCCTGCGCACGCGCGGGCAAGACCTCTCCCGTGCGGCGCCAGCACATTGCTGATGTCGGTGAGGAACGCATGCGAGGCGACCGCGCATATCACCCCTGAGGCAGGGCGCCCTTGAATGATCCCGCACTGGATGAAGAATATCATCTGCAATGCATGTCCAGCGAAGGCACAGCATCGAACACATGAAGATAGGCAGCACAGGCAGTGACAGAGCGGCGCCGGCAGCTGCGGGGATTGAAGACACAGAACGATACATTTCACGAGCGATGGAAGGGGGGGCCTGACCGTAATCAACAGGAATCAAAGAAGGTTTGCAAGAAATGGCCACGTCATCGGTCTCACGAGGTATGCTGAAAATCTTGGAGTACGATTTAGTCTAGTATGTTGGCCCCGGAGTTTCCCCCCCGCCATGAAGGTTTTCTGGATGGAAATGATGAATGCGCGCAGGGCCCAATGCATCGACTGGGCGGCGATGCCCGCGGGGATCTTGTTGGAGGTGTTTCTGAGGCCGAGATCGAAGATCGCTACGTGACAACGCTGCGAGCGATGAGCCCTCGCATCCCCCCCGTCGCCTCACCGCCAGCCTGGATTCTGGGCCCCCCGCAATCTGGCCTCGCATTTCAACTTGTTCTCGCTCGGAGATGCGGCGGTGAATCCTCGAGAACCGCGAAGGGGTAACGTAGCCGAACTCGCCCAGCAAGCACTTCGACCTCTAGACAGCGCCTGGCCAGGTGGCCCGATGGCCTAGAGTCTCTGAGCCGGCTTCACGCCTTACCGCCACGCGGCGCGAATATGCTTTTGATGATGAGGAAACGGGTCGGCGCGGACTCAGGGCGCTCCGCACTCATAGCGCCCCGAGCAAACTGCGCAGCCTGCCCAGTGATACGCGCGTGGAATTCCAGAAGCAAAGGTGACGGCATCGTCGCCGTGTCCGTCATTTCCGAAACGTGCGCCATATAACTAGCGCATTCTTCTTGTCTGAAAATTTCGTCGAATCGGTCGTCGCGTCGCTGGCGCGGAGGGCCGCGGGCAATTTCAGACTCCACAGGGCGTGGTCCGAGAGCCCCCTGGAGAGCAACGCCCCCGGGCAGTCCAGGACCTGGCCAGAGATGCGCACCTGATTGCAGATCCAACCTGGGAACGAGATGAATACCCGATCTATATTGAATAACACGTTGAAGCTGTCGTCGAAGCGGGCGCCGCCAGGCATGTCCCCCTGTGAGCGAGGAGAAGATGGGGGAGAAGACGGGGCCCCGAGAAGCCCCCCACTCCTGCGCAGGAAGGGTCGCGTCAGGCGCAGTGACCGCGCCCAGGAGCCCGGGCGCATTGCTGAACAGGTTAAAACCGCCAGCCAATAACCACCAGACGGGAGATCGGAAAGGACGACGAGTCGAGGAGACGAGCACGAAGAGCAGCGGTAAACTGTTCCCGCTCCAAAAATAGCGAGCCCGCGATTGCGAACGTCAAAGTGGCTGATCAACTGGTCCTCGGAGAATTTCACGAACACTTCCTGGGCGCGCCCTGGGACCAGGACTTGATGCTGAACGACCGCGGGGCCACGTTCTGGATGAGCGAAGAACTTGACATTGGATCGACGGCGGTGACACCACCAGCACGCGATGAGCAGAAAGAAGAGTCGGCGACGAAGCGGGAGCTGGAGTGGTAGATAAGATCGGCGAGCTCGGCCTGGGCGGCGCGCGTCTCTTGCAGGGCGTGAAACGCGCCTGGCCCCCTAGACTTCCTGGCTCGGCTGACCCTGCGAGATCTCGCGGAGACCTCGCCGCGAAATGAAGCCATGCAGTTCCAAGACACAAATCTCCGCGGCAAAGGCTGACCTGGCACTGATGCCCACCGCCTCAGCAGCGGGCTAAATACTCCACTGGGCGCCCTCAGAAGCCCGGCGGTAGTTCCGCAGCACGGCCTCCTGGATGTCACCCCTGACGAAGCTGAAGTGGCGCATGGCCTCCTCAGCGCAGCGGAAGATGGGCACCCGGCCCCCAGGGAGGGGCTCCACCTGGAGGACGGGGCACCACTCGCAGGATATCCCCCCTTTGAGCATGCCCGTGCAGAGATGCTTGGACGGGCAGAGTTGCTCGAACTCTTTCTTCGCATACTTGACGGCCAGCTCTCGTTTGACTTGGGACTGATTTTTGTCGGGCGAGATGAAGAGCTCCTGGCGTTCCCCTGCGGGGGTGGGAACCGTGAACCTCTCCCAGGAAGTACAAGAAGCGCGCAGCGCACCCAGTGCGCGCTGAACTTTGCGCGCAGCCTAAGGAGCCGCGCCTTTAACTAGAAGGACGCGTCGTTTGGTGGTGACCTCACCCTCGAGCTCGCACTCGCTGTGTCCAATTTCGCTCTGGCCAACCAAACTTCCACTGCGGTATGGACCTCATCTCTGGCAACAGACTGCTTGGTCCGGACAAGAGAATGGCATGGTCGATGTCGCGATCGCAGTCATTGCTGGCGATGGGAGGAGCAGGCTTAGCAGCACGGATGTCGCCAAGACTGTTCTGAAGGACCTTAATCTGCTCTTCCAAAAAGTCGAGCCTGGCCTACTGCCTGCCCCGGCGCACCAAGACGGAGTGCATCCTGGCCTCGATGTGATGGTCGATCGCGTTGCAGCTCTCGGTGGCGGCGGTGGACAGCCCGAGAACAGAGCTCTCAAGCTTGGCCACTGCCGCATGGAGATGGTTCTTTGTGACGTCGACGTGGTGCCGCAACTCCTGGAGCTGCTCCTGATCGACTGTGTTATTCGTGCGGGCGAGCATCTGTGCATCAGTTCGCTGGGTATGCATGCCAGCGACTCCCGCACCATCACTTCCCATAGCGTGCCCGACAAAATGTGGGCGAAGGGGAAGCTGTGACCCCGCGGTCAGCGAAGGTGATCCGGAACCTGCTTCCAGCAGAGGTTCGAGAGACGCCAACAGGCAAGTTCCAAAACTACTCGCTGGTTCTCGGGCGTCTATAGCCCTTCGCAACGTTTAGCCTTGAGCCAAAAATGGCTACGGACCTCCTCCTCCTTTTCCTCCTCCTCCTCCTCCATTCCTTTCCCCTATAAATAATATTGCCCTGTCGCACCCCGAGGCCAGTTTCAGAGCGGGCCGGGCGTTTCGCCTGAGACTTCCTCACGACTTACGATTCCGAAGCTAAAAATGACAGCAGCTTCACAGACGGAGGGCGGAACGTGTTCAAAATGTGGCTCTCGCCCAAGCGCCGCGCAAATTCGGTGGGTCGTTTTTCGAACTGCGGCTCTCGTCTCAGCGATGCTCACATTCGTTGTAAAAGTGTACGAGAAGTTCCACGGATTGGGGGCGGGTGGTTTTCAAAATGTGGCTCTCGCCCTGGCGCCATGCACATTCGTTTTAAAAACATTGCAAGGGCTTCACGGATTGAGGGCGAGCCGTTTTCAATATGTGGCTCTCGCCGTAGCGCCGCGCACACTCGTTTTAAACATTTGCAGGAAGTTCATGGATTGAGGGCGGGTCGTTTTCAAAATGTGGTTCTCATATTAGCGCCGCGCACATTCGCATTAATGATTTCCAAATGTTTCACGGACTCCCATGATCAACGTACGTACCAGACATGTTGCTTTGGAAGGATTCAAGATTTACGCGGGTGCAACAATTATGTTAATCCGTGGCGTGAAATTCCCGAGACCAATGTTTTGGCATGCTTCAAGGTCTTCAAACGGTTATCTTCCAACGAAACAATTCCCTCAATGAAAATGGACCATTGCCGGGGCCTATGAAGAGGGAGCTTGGAGGGAGGCTCAATTCCAACATCGTTGACGACTCTTGGGTTTGCAATGGTCCTCCTCCTCCTCCTCCTCCTCCTCCTCCTCCTCCTCCTCCTCCTCCTCCTCCTCCTCCTCCTCCTCCCCCTCCCCTCCTCCCCCTCCTCCCCCTCCTCCCCCTCCTCCTCCTCCTCCTCCTCCTCCTCCCTCCTCCTCCTCCTCCTCCTCCTCCCTCCTCCTCCCTCCTCCTCCTCCTCCTCCTACCTCCTCCTCCTCCTCCTCCTACCCCCTCCTCCCCCTCTCCCCCTCCCCCCTCCTCCTCTCCCCTCCTCCTCCTCCTCCTCCTCTCCTCCTCCTCCTCCTCCTCCTCCTCCTCCTCCTCCTCCTCCTCCTCCTCCTCCTCCTCCTCCCTCCTCCTCCTCCTATCTCCTCCTCCTCCTCTCTCCTCCTCCTCCTCCTCCCTCCTCCTCCTCCTCCTCCTCCTCCTCCTCCCCTCCTCCTCCTCCTCTCCTCTCCTCCTCCTCCTCCTCCTCCTCCTCCTCCTCCTCCTCCCCCCCTCGGACGCCGGACGCGCGGCGTCCTTTCGCCACCGCCCCGGCGAGGCGCTGCGCCCGCAGGCCGGAGCCCCGGAGCAGCATCGTGGCTCCGCCGCGGGCCTCCACCCGGTCCAGGAAGCCAGCCGCGCCCCCCGGGGCGGGCACGTGCTGACGAACGTTCATCACGCACCCATACCCATAGGGGGGACGGAAGGAGCTATGGGTGCGTGTTGTCGGATGGGGGTCCCCGCTCGAGCGGGAGCCTCCCCAGGGGTCCGACAACCCGCACCCATACCCATAGCCAGTCCTTCTCCCTCCGACCTCCCTATGGGTATGGGTGTGTGTGTTGTTCGTTCATCACGTGCGGCGTGCGCAGGCCGGAGGAGGGCGACGAACTCTAGACACCTTCCCAGACCCCCCCGACTCGTGAAAAAATCACGGCGGGAGGTTTCTCGACACATTCGGCCTCCGGGGGCCCTCACTGGGCCTCGGGGCCGTCAACAAAACGGCTCGGGACAAAAAAACAGTCCCGGGGAATGGGTCCAGACCGCTCGGGGCCGACGTCGTGAAAAAGTCATGACGTCGGGGGTCTGGGTTCACTGCTCCCTGGTCAGGCCCCTCCTGCACACAGCAATCGCGTGTGCGCCACGCCCTCCTGGCCTGGCCAGGAGGGCGTACCCACAGCTCCTGGGCCCAGGAAGGGCCTGGCCTGGGGGCAGTGGGTGCGTATTCGTCGCCCGAAGGTGCCCGCCGACTTGCCCTCCAGGTCCCCTTCGTGCCCTCGCAGAAAAGGACCGCTCGCAAATGGCATGGATCATCCGCGGGAGATTTACGAACCACTCCATCGAGGCAAACACGTGTTTTTTCTGACGTCTGCGAAAAGGTACTTTGTGAATACTGGAACGCGCTCCGTAACTTTCCATCAGCTGCGCCTCGCCGAGAGCGTTCTGGAGCTGCCGGAATCGTTCCGAACGTTCGCCAGAGACCCAAATTATGATCCGAAAACTGCTTCCCAGACATGCTCGCGTCGTGACAAGAAACACGACGAAAGGTTTGTGGCAGTGTTAGGCCTCTGAGGGCCATCGCCGAGCCCCTGGGACCGTCCAAAAAAAACTCGGGATGAAACACTGGCCCCGGGGAAAGGGTCGGGGCTGCCGGAGAGCCTGTTTTCAAAACACAACTGGCGGAGGATCTGAGGCAGCTGTGCCGGGGCCACGGGTCGCAGCGGCGACGTATGCGGCGAAGAAGAAGCCCTCTGGACACAAAACAAGGAACACGCTGCGTAAATGCACCGAAGACGCGGAACGGCGCCAGCCCTCCTAACACGAAGGCATAGGCGAGAGCCGGTAGCGGCTGGCCGGGGATGATCTTCACGTCGGTGTGCCACCCGAACGGCACGGTCCACGGTTCGCCTGGCCACTAGCCCAGTATCGCCAGAACTCTCGCAGCATCGACAAACACGCATGGTACCATCACACCATGGGCCGACAGGGACCTCGAATGACATACAGATGTGGAGGAACACGAGGAGTGAGATAAGACGAGATCGCTTCTTCACAGGAATCTGCTCGGCGATCGACGTCGACTGCTGAAACCTCTCCAGGCCTCATTTAGTCCTGCCAGGTCCTGCAGAAGTCAAGGACAATGGCGAGCATACCTCGTAGCCCCCCTCCTTCGCTTGCCCTCCTTCTCCTGCCCCCGGGCCTCTCTCCCCCCGTGTCGGAGAGCCTCGAGACCCCGCACACACACGCGCACAAACACACACACACACACACACACACCGGCCCTCCTCGGGCGGGGGGTGGCCCAGGCGCGGAGAGGAGGAGGGCGAGGTACGGGGAAGGGCAGCCCAGAACTCCGACGTCATGGCTTCTTCACGACCCGAGGGGGTCTGGCGGGAGCCGGCGACTGCGCTGAGAGTGCGAAGAAGAAGAAAGGCAGAAACATAAATTGTTGGCGCTCCGCGCGGATGCCTTGGATCTGCGCTGGGCACCCCTCCCCGGCGCGCGGAGTGCGCCAAGGGCGGCGCCGGAGGCGCTACCGGGGGACCCAGCGCAGATCCAAGAAATCCGCGCGGAGCGCCGAAAGTTTATGGTAATGGCAATTGTTCTTCTTCGATGCCTCGAGACGTCGTGATTTTTGTCCCAACCATCCTGTAATGTTGGGTCCTCGTAGTGAAGAGACAGCGCCCCGCGCCTCCTCTCCTCCCCTCCCCTCTCCCCTCCTCCCTCCTCCCTCCGCCCATCCCTGCCTCTGCCCCTCCGACGCCATGGCGTTCTCCTGGCCCGAGGGGGGTCCGGCGGGAGCCGGCGACCGCGCTGTAAATATGCTGCCCTTCCCCGCCGGCGCCGCGGCCGTGCCCCTGCCCGAGGCCAACCGCCTCTCGGGGTGGGCCTCTGCCTTCGGGGGGGGCCCACCGATCCTCGCTTGTGCTGAACTTAGGTCGGGCATCTACAGGCGAATAAATCAAGAAATACGATAATCCTTTGAACAAGTACTCACAAAATCGTCCCCATACTACTGCTTTGACTATTTTTGAATGTTCGTCCTGTAGAGGGACAGGCCCGACTGAATGCTAAACCTAATCCAATAGCCCTTATAACGGCGACGAGGCGACGATCGAAAGCAGTGCCCCGGCACTGCTTTGAACGCGTTCAAAGCAGTGCCCCGGCACTGCTTTGAACGTATGATATGATGATATGATGATGATTATGATTGATGATGATGATGATTTTTCCAGCGTACACTGTCCGCAACTGCGGCAATCAACATCATGCTCCACTTGCCCGCAACTGCGGCCATCACCAACGCTGCCCCTCGAAGCTCCGCGGAGGGCGCTCGGCAGGTCGCCCGCTCGAGCCCCACTCGACTTCACGCTGAGGAGGCGAGCCCTCAGGGGCATTGTCCGCAACTGCGGCATGATCAGAGGGCCACCACTGCGCGCCATCAGCGCCCCATTCGCTCGAGCTCCAGTCCCACCAGGACCAGCCCTGCCATCTCGTGGCGGGACTGCGCGCCTCCCATGCGCCGCTGCCGCTGGCGTCCCAGGACCCAGCCGCCACTGCGGCACAAGAAGGGGTCGCATCGTCGCCGTTGGCAGCTTGCGGCGGTGGCGTGTTCCCAGCTCGCTCAGCCCCAGCGTCTCTCCCCGCAACTGCGGTTCCCATCTGGGGTCGGACGCCCTTCCCCGCAACTGCGGTGTCCGCGTAGCTGCCCTTCTTGCCGCCCTTCTTGCCGCCCTTCCTGCCGCCCTTCCTGCGTTCCAACCTCGCGGCGAGTCTTTCAGGTGACCTGCGGCACGTATTGTGCGTGAAAGCCACCAGAGGGAAGTGCGCTCCGTGCCTCGCCCTGCCGAAGGCGCCATGCCATATCTTGTCGTCGAGGTTGCCCTGCTTCACTCTGAAGGGATGGCGCACCCAATCGTCGCGTTCCCTGCGCGCCATCCTTTGCTCGAACTCCGCAACTGCGGTCAAGGATTCGCCAGATGGCGTCAGGAAGGCGCGCATCTTGTTTTCAACGGGCTCAGCCTTGGGCACGTAAGTCTGAAGCATCTTCCCAGGGCCATTCGTGTAGTCGAAGACAGGGAAAGACGGATCATGCTGGGTCGTCAAGAATCCGCCCTCACGGTCGTGCAGAACACTCAGGCCATGGTGAAGCTTGTACTGCCCAGGACAGTTTATGAACAAAATCGCCATGCTGTCTGCCCTGGGCTGGCCGCCTGCTGTCTTCCAGGGGGTCCACGCGGCGACGTCCACAGTCAGGCCGCAATTGCGGCACCAGGACACAAGCTGGAACATGCACATGTTGAAGTCCCCCATGCAGACCTTCACGTCCCATTCCCTGACGTAGGCGACGAACCAGTTGTAGAACTCATGGAGCTTCGTGACGCCCCAGTCTTGGTTGGCCAAGCTGTGGTGGACGTGCACCGCCATGACGTTGAAGGAGCCCCCCAAATGGGTCACGGCCTGGTCCAGGTGGACGCGCACCACCATCGCCCTGGAGTACTTGTTGTGCAGCTTTGGCGCAGGAGCCTCCGCAACTGCGGACGGTTTCTTCTTCTTCTTCGTTTTGGACTTCTCCTGCTTGTGGAAGAGTCTCGCAAAGTCTACGTGTTCAATGTGGCCGCCACTGCGGTCCCTCATGCCAACAAGGAGGGTCCCTGATGGCTCGCCGCCCTTAACGCACAGGTAGTTGCATTGAGTCCGACTCCGAAACCTATCGTCCGCAACTGCGGCTGCACTGTCCCTCGCGTCGTGCTCCCCACTGAGTACCGCGCAGGTCTCGTCGTCGCACTCGCAGAGGGCGATGATCTGGGCAGGGTTCGCGCGGAGCTGCGCCCACTCGTCCGCGCGTTGCGTGGGTCTAGCTGCAGTCCCTCCGAAGTTGGCCACGTAGAAGCCGACCCGTCCCGCTTCGAACTCCGTTTTCTCCTCCCATGCGTCGACAAGAGCTCTTTGTTTTTCCGACAGATTGCTTGTCTCGATGATGGGCACCCGTTTCCAGGTTCTCCGCGACGACAACACTCTCGGCATGTAGGAGTCATGTGCTGCCGCAACTGCGGCTCCCGCACCTCCCCGGGACTCAGCCTCGTCAGCGGAGGCAGCCGAGGACGCGACGGTGCTGTCGCCATCTTGCGTCCGCTGGTCGTCGTCATCATCCGCAACTGCGGCTTCCTCGTCTTTGCCTCCCTCCTCCTCCTCAGCGTTGTGGATGAACACCGTTCTGGCGAATCGAGGTCCACGGTCCATACTCCCTGAGGATGCGCTCGGGCGCGCGGGCGGCCACATGCTTGCGTCTTCGCGTGCGCCACCTCGAGCCACGGTGGCTACGGAAATGGATCGTGAATGGGCATGGGGTCGGATGGAGGGAGGAGACAAAGAGGATTCGAGGAGTGGCAGAAGGAGGGCGAGGACTCAAAGGAACCGAAAGAACAACAAATGGACTGGCGGAGAAGCAGAAGGAGGGCGACGATTGCAAGGGACTGTGAAAGGATTATTTTCACAGCAGCAGGAAGACCGCAACTGCGGTTTTGCCTCATCTCCTGCCCGCGCGGGAGCCGCTTGGAAAAACAACTTCCCTCTGGACTTCCTGTGGGTCCGCAACTGCGGCCTGCATCACGCTAGGGCTGGGATTACCAGCGCCATTTGCCCTCCCAGGGTTCTCACTGTTTCCGAATGCACGAACTGCGACAGCGCCGAACGGTTCCCAGACGCCGCGTCGTTCGCGACTTTTTGCAGCCACCCAGCAAACGTGAGCGGCCATTGCTCCTTGTGCTGCTTGCACATCTCCTCGTCCCAATGCGTCTTGAACCATGCCCACTCCCCCCTCTGCTCGTCTGAGAGGACGCCTTTTCCGCGAGCCAGGCGATCCAGAGCTGCCATCCTGTTTTTCTTGATCTTGAACTCCTCGGGATTCCACTGCGCTAGGGCGTGTTTGTTAGCCAAAGCCGTTTCCACCGCAACTGCGGCCTCCTTCTTTGCCCTCAAGGCGGCCTCGGCCTCTCGAATCTGCTTCTTGAGATCGTGCAACGCCTTCGTCCTGTCGTTCGCTTCCAGAGCCAGGCGCCGCTTTTTCGCCACCACTGCGGCTTCGTGGTCTCGCTGGGCAGTCAACGCTCGTAGGACCTCGTTGTCCTCCCGCGCCAGCTCTCTCAACCGCTTCTTTTGTTTGTGTCGTTGCTGTCGGCAATCCTGCGCTAGTTTCTCCATGCCCACTTGGCGCAGCATATCTTCCGCCTCGCGGAGCGTTTCTGCCAAGGACGTCGCCACTGCCACCTGCTCGGCCGCCTCTGCGTCGACCACGCAGTCCATGGATACCGAGGATCCTTGAGGCCCAGGTGCCGCAACTGCGGCATCGCACTGTTCCGCAAGAGCCTCGGCCCACGAGGCCTCCTCTTGCTCTTCGTCCTCCTCGTGCTCCTCGTGCACCTCCTCCTCCTCCTCCTCCCCGCCCTCCTCATCGCCCTCCTCGTGGCCTGGCTCCTGGCCTAGCGCTTCGTCGCCGAGCTTCTCCAACACGGAATCTGTGGCGTCGTGTTTCTCGTATTCGTGTATGAGACGCAGCACGTCATTGTAGGACCATTTCAAACGTTTCTGCTCGCATTCTTCCCTCACCTCCGCGACTGCGGTGTCCACTTTTGCTCGCAGCCCCCCTGCTTCCCAGAGTTCCGCCGCCTCTCGGCAAATCTCGAGATCTCCTGACTTGTCGAAGGGCGCTCGAATTCCCACTTTCAGGAAACCTTTCGCGGCGTCCAAGTGCAACTGCACATTCTCCAACACTGACAGCATCAAGTCGGCGCAATCGGAACGCCGCAACTGCGGCACGTGCTTCCCCAACGCCATTTGCTGCACCAGCGCTTTGGTCTCGAGGGCAATGTACCGGCGCTTCACGTGCTGGTTCAAGTCCGTGTCCACGGGCTGCGCAACTGCGGTCGTCCCCCCGCCGTGAATGATCAGCACGTAGCCGCGCTGCCAGGCGAGTCTCCGCACAGCGTCTGCTTTGTGCGGGGAATGGTCGTCGGCCATGAGGATGCGCCACTTTCCCCGCAACTGCGGGTCGTCGGGCCAGGCCCGCAAGTGCCGCTGCAAGAATGATACAACGTCGTCTGCGCGGTAGGACCCCTTCTCGGACGTCGCCGTGCTCACCCAAGACGGATAGCCGCGACTGCGGGCATGTGCGGCCAAGCCCTCAGCGATGACAGATCCCCCCTTGAACATTAGCTCCGCCGGCGGTGGTCCGCAACTGCGGATGTCCTCCGCGTCGCTCGACACCGTCAGGTTCGCTGTCCACCGAGCCCTGCTGTCGTCATGCGCCTCGACAAGCGGGACAATGCCACCCTTCACAGCCAAGGTCGGCTTCGAGGCCGACGACGACTCGTTGTGGTGAAAGGGCGACTGGTCCCAGTTCAGGATGTGCGGGTCGTACCCCAGAAGCTCCTCTGCAGCTGCGCGGACCCTGGCCACGTTCAAGATCATAGTCTCAAAACGAGATTGGAGCAACCATTTTGGCACCTTGTACTTGCGGTTCGGCTTCTTCATGCTCAGGCCGTAGGAGCGCCGCCACTTCACCCACCACCGAGGCCGCAACTGCGGCACCATCGGTTTGCCTCCCCGCTTCATTGTCTCCACGCAGTAGTCCGCGACGAGTTGCTTCGCCTTCGTAACCAGCAGGGATTGGGAGAACCTGGCCAACATCTTGGGCCTCTCCTCCGCAACTGCGGTTCGCTTGGCCACCGCCTTCCAGTCCACGGAGTACCTCATGTGGGACCACCACTCGTACAGAGCGGCTTCCAGCCATGGAGCCTTGTTCGGGCGCCCTTGGTTGCCCCGCGCGCGGCGTCGGCCATGCACGCCCGCCGTGCCATGTCCACCTTGTGTGCGCCAGTTTTGAAACCACTTGGA